TATTTTAAAATGATGGGTCTGATGGAAAATTAGTGTGTAGCTACCACAAAGGGACCTTTGACAGAAACTCACATGGGACATCATGGCAGCTCAGATCAGCAAGCAGTGGATGGATAAGGAGGATGGCTTGGGATATGCCTTAATGATGAGTTGCTACGTGGAGGGATGGGAAATGGATCATTGAATTTGTCTCTGGGATGTGAGGAGAGCCTTCAGGTGTGACTACTGGTGACATTTGTCATGATGATGACAGTTTGGGAGAGAAAACCAGTCCTGCTTTGGTCAGGGTGAGCCTGCAGTGCCCAGTGAGCTATCCCTACGCAGAGAGCCGGTGGACAGAGGAGTTCACTATGCAATAATATTTAAAGATAATGCCAGGTGTGCTGCTGCAAGCTATAATCCTAACACCACAAAATGGAAAGTGAGACGCTAAAGGCTGACAGGAAGGACAGGAGCCTCCCTTCCTCTAGGGACCATAAGCTTTAAGGGAGAAGAGAGGAGAGGCCAAGGGATGGGCTCTGCGGCTACCATCCTTCAGCTCAGGAGGGAAGGAGCCAATAAGCTAAGTGCACAGAGAACCTGTGGTCAAGGCACCCAAATGTCTACAAGAGGACGATGATGGTGAGTAAGCCATCAAGCGCTGAAACCATCTCTGGGTCAGCTAAAGGTGCTGGGGGCTGTAGGGTGACCATGGTCTAGTGAGGACCTGAAAGTGAGGTCAAAGGACATAGACGGAACCCGCCCGGGAGGAGCTGGAGGTAGGAAGGACCAGAGTAAGCCCGGCTCAAATGGAAGGCTCAGGAAGGAGGCAAAACAGAGCCAGAGGTCCCAAGAGGCTGAGCAGCTGCAGTGTGTTGAAGAATTCGGTTCTCCAAGCAAAACAACTGCCAATTTCACCAGCTAGGCTGTACCTGTGCCTACTAGCTGGTCTGTGGACTGACCGAATTCCCTAAGAGGAGGGAACACGGAGGCTCCCTTACCTGAGGTTCCCTTACCGGAGGAACCCTTACCTGAGGTTCCAGCCATTTGTTTGCAATTCTGCCCTAATTGTACGTGGCCTGGCATATGCAGGCTGGGGACACTTGAGTAAAGTGGGTTGCAGCTACGTGGCTATGGGGAAGACACCATTCACGCTGGGTGAAGACTTTGCAAAACAACTGTTTTGGGGTCATCCATGCTCCTGTACACGACCCCTCAGCCACGTCCTGTAGATAAACCCAATAAACTCATCGTAGAATTACACGCACCTCTGCTGTTAGAACCTTCCGGGGATGTAGAAGTTCTTTAGGTCTCCACGGGGGAGGAATTCTCACAGCTGAGGCAGGAGGGCAAGGAAGGTCCAGGAAGAAAGAGAAAAGAGGAAGGTCAACTTAGGCGTCTCCTTTAACTTTCCTTAGGGAAGTGCTGACCATGACTGAGCAAGGGGTGGGGCCCGCAGAGGCTTAGAACTTGAGCAGAATGGGAGATGTCTAGGCCATGCAGAGAGGTGGTCAAGCAGCTCCCAGACACACTGGGGACTCAGGGCTGGATCTGTGCACCAGGCCCCTCCAGTGGCGGCACAGGGCCTCACGGATCTGCAGGACGAGCCTCTGGAGCCCTTGGGGCTGCATGTAACCATGGGTACAGCCACAAGCAAGCTGGGCTGTCCCTGGGGCCGGGGGGCTTGCAGGGCCGCAGTATTGCCATCACCACAGGGCTTGTCTCAGCTACACATACTTCACGCTGGAAGGCCAGCGAGGGACAGGGCCTACCTTAGTGTACAGCATGAGGGGCATCAAGGCTGAGGACATTTTGGCTAGGTGGAGACTGTTGAGGTCAAGCAAGCAGAGGGTCAGGGGAGCAGGCATGCTAGAGGGTCACAATGGAGACTGGTGTATCCACATTCTCCCAGGGTCTGTCACGGGACAGGTAAGTAGACCCAGAACCCACTAGTTAGGAGGAGCTGGGAGACGCCTCATTAGGTGTTTGCATGCAGAGCGGCACAGGCCTCTCCCAGCCTTCTGTATTCTAAGAACTGAGATCTGTGTGAGCTCTGAGCACAGTAGCTCTGACTGCTCTTTGTCCTTTCCGCTTGGTGCAGTGGGCAGAACTGGAGGTGAGCGCAGTGGACTGGAGCGCTCCTCTGCAGAAGGGAGGCCATCTGGGCAGCAAGGTATGGACCTCAGTCCCTTTTCCTTCCCGAGAGGCACAAGTCAGTCCTAACCTTCACGGAGCAGTGTGGTTGTCAGAGCAGGGACAGAACACAGAAGCGCTTTCAATGGGCCTGCTGTGGGCTGAGCACTGGGCCAGCTCTGACTTCTTCCCTGTCCATGTGTCCCCACTCCACATGTCCCTTGTATATGCATGCCTCTCTATAGTACCATCATTAAGCGTGTCCCAGCGTTAACCTTCAGGTCCCCCCTCAGGCACTCCACTTAACTGCTTTCACAGAGTAGGTGTCCTATGGACGTAGGTGCTAAGTTTATGAGGGAGGTAAGACGCCTCTATCCTTAGACTTCCAGAAGACAAAACAACCCCCCATATCCTATCAGGATGCGACACTGTGCCATACACCCCAGCAGGATGAGGCAAAAAAAGATACGCAGATATATAAACATACAGCAGGATGAAACATACACCTAGAAGGAGGAAACACACACACACACCACCACCAGCAGCAGCAGCAGCAACAGGATGACATACACACACACACACAGGACGGACACACACGCACATGCGTGCACACACACACATACACACACACCACCAACAGCATCAGGTTGAAACACACACACACACACACAGACACACAAACACATACTTTGAATTTTTTGCACTTTTAGCTGTACTGTCAATTTTTGCAAAAAAGTATCCCAGTTTACCGAGTTGGCACTGTACAGAAATAAACAGCCATATTGGTCTAGAAACGTGAAACTTAACTGTTTTCCATTTGTTTGGGTAACACACTATTAAATATGTAAGGTCGTATCTGCATGGGTTTGGTTAGAGAAGCTAAGAAAGTGTTTATTAAACACCACCTCTTCAGAACATACAGTTTGGATTCTTCCCACAAACAAGAACCAGGTGAACTCTTGAAGCCACGTCCTGGCGTGCTCAGACTAGAGGCGGAAGACAGCGGGCTAGCCACTTACATTTCTTCTCCTTCCCAACGTTCCATTTTGTCCCTAGTTCTGTGGAAGGAAGCCAGAAAGAACACGACACACCCTACACACTGTAATCTGAAGAACACAAAGACGGAATTTTGTTGTGGGCACCAAGGTCCCTGCACTCACAAACAACTCTAGGGAAACCAAGAATGCTAAAATGAACACACAGAGTTGTCTCTTCAAGGAAAAAATGTATATGACCCATTTCCTACCCACCAGAAGGCTGGGAATGGAGGTCATTGGGTGCTCAGTAGCTTGGTGATGTGAGTTATCTGAAGGCCGGCCATACCTGTCCCCACAGCCAGGACCAGAGGTGGCTAACAGGCAAAATGACCTCTACGCTACTGGTATGACTGAGATCACCCAGATCCTTCCCTAGACCCTTAGGACGTAGCTGAACTGTAGAACCCATCTTCCTGGAAGAAGTGATACTTTGAGTTGAGTTTCAATGTGCTTGTCTCCTTGAGCTCAGGGGGTTGCATTACACCAGGAAACTTTTTCTGAGTCATAGTGTGCCTAACTATGTTGGCAACAAATTGCTCAGAGTCAGACTCTAGAAGTTGGGACCAGCAACAAAAGTCATGCTGAACAGGACTTCCTTCTTGCCTCTAGCAGATGGATTCTCTGCTGGGCCTGGCGTTCACAGACACTCCCACAGAATTTCCATTGATAACTGGAGGGCTCAAAGGTGAAGATTACACGCAGGTGACATTCTAACAGAAAAGGAATGCATTTGTCTTACCTGTGATATGTGGCTGTTCCATGCACGCTGCTGCCCCTACCAGGCCTGGGTCATCTTAAAATGAGGTACTTAGACCCTGCCGAGGCCCTCTACAGGTGGCCATCAAACGTATGGTAGGTCAGCTTAGTCCTGGCTTACAGGCAACTCTTAATGCAAAGCTAGTTTTGGCACTTTCAGGCACTATCTGGGAGGCAGTTTTATTACAGACTTGGAAGTGAGTATGGGTGAGTTCAAGGACTGGACATACAACACTGAAAAAAAAAAATCCCAACTGCCATTTTAATGTCCTTTCAACAGATAAGACCAGTCATTAGAGGAAAGTCAAAGTTCACCGGAACAAGGCAGGAGACCAGAAAGTGAAAGATTTCAGTGTGAAGCCAGCAGCACTTCCCTGTCCTTAGACAGTATGAATGAATGACAAGAGTAATTACAGTTGTAAGCAGGAGGGAAGACATTTTACAAGCCTCCCCCACCCCCCGCCTTACACAGGGCAGAACACTGCGTTCTCAGAACAAAATGAACTAAAAGCCAATACATGCAGCCCTTATTCGAGGGTAAGTTCAGGGCAGGAAAACAGCCCCAAATAGGGAAGGTGGCTGGAGGGCCACTTGCCCACTTCTTCCTGATGTGTTCGGTGTCTTCTAGAAGGAAAGGGGACCATCCCACCATTCTGGCTTCTGACATTTATGTGGGGCTAGAGTCCACCTGGTACTGACCTAGCCCTTAAGGCCTCTCAATACCAGCAGTCATAATCACACCTGAGACAGACAGCCCAAGTCCTGTGCAGGCTTTGAGCCATCTATGGATTCTTGATCAAGGCTGAGTAAACACGCAAGTCATATGGGGTGTGGAGGAGGGGGCAGCTCTCCATCCAAGAAGGCCAGTGAGGCAAGTTTCTTCCCTAACTGAGCAGGGCTCAGTGTGAACTTTGCTCTAATTGATACAGCGAGTAGGGTAAGGGGGTAAAAAAGAAAAAAAAAAAAAACAACAAAAAACAAAAAACCCCCCAAAACTCTCACAAGTATGTCAGAGCTGTTTGCACTTTCAAACATACTGATCATCATCATCATCATCATCAGACAGATGACAATGATGAAAGCAGTTTGCCTAGAGTCATTTGCACAATATGGGGATTATGGAGAAGAACTGAAAGAAAGGGGAAAAAAAAACAACTAGTATTCAAGGACAAGAAATACAAGGACCTTTTTCCACCAACAGTTCGTCTTTTCTTCCTTTTTCTGCTTACAAAGGCGTGTGCGCTGTGCTCCCGATTTTCTGAGCAGCCCAGTTTCCCGCTGGAATAATGACGTCTGTTACATGGAAGGCTCCACTGAGTTACTGACCTGGCAGTGGGGAGGCAGGTACAGACCACACAGCCCCCTCTTTACGGAGTCTTCTACTTTGCATCAGGGGAGGACTCAAAAGCCCCTTTGATAAGTGTTCACGGAGAGTCAATCCACTCCAAGGCACATTTTTTTTCTCCCTTGGTTAGGGCCAGCGGTGACATCACAGATGTCACTCTACAAGACTACAAGCAGACCACAGCAGCTTTCTGCTTTTCTTTTCCCCTAACCCTAGGGAAGGCAGGGTTAGACAAATGCTGGTAGTTATAATTCTGGTTACATGTTATTTCTGTATTTTAATTTCCCACGGGAAGTTGCCCATCATAGGAACTAACTGGTCACCAATGATACCACCTCACAAAGCACAAACTGACACAAGGAACTAGGAGTTAATGCAGCATCTCTGCCATACTCAGTGATGAGGTTTACTTTCTATTCCACGTTGAAGAAAACTGTTAAATAGTTTTTGTTTTTGTTTGTTTGTTTTCTGGCAGAATGGAGTCCATGCCCCTCGTCCAAAGCTACACTCACCAGTAGGTGGCGCTACAACAAAATCAATCAAAAGAAAGCAGGCCACACTGGTTGGGTCCCTGGCCCCAGAGTGGCCTAATGGACAAGGACAGAAAGCCTGGAGGCCCGGGATCTGGCAGGCAGCATGCGGCTGAAAGAAAAAAGAACTGGTGTCCAGGCCCCAGCAAGATCATCAGTCTCCTGGGCGCCTGTGGGCCTAACGCTTCCTCTTCCCCTTCACGCCCTTTCCCAGTGGTCTGGATTTCCTCAGAGGAGGCAGAGGAAACACCCCTCAGGGAAACCCTTTCTCCCTAATACTCACTGTGCAGATGTCATGGCTTTGGGGGTCTTCACATATTAAGTGCTTTATGTGAAAACCCAGTCCAGTTTTATAAGCAGCTTTACATACTATTAGAAGGTATCGTGGCTAAGAGAAGGGAATACATTCTCCTTCGGAAATACCTGGGGAGGCTCCTACATAAGAGCACGGAGACTTACCACTATGTCTGTGCCTCTTTAGTCCCTTCACATAGGTGCAACATAAGAAACTTCCTCTCTGCATGTACTATGTACCCCAAGTCTCCAAAGGGAAGTTCTGTCTCCACAGTTCCTTATATGCAGTGTGTACGCAATGTCTCAATGACAGAAGGGACAGCAAGCACCGATGGCCCCGGGCAGGCACGAACACAGCTCTAGCTTGTTGCTTTCTCCCACGTCTGCTGGTCCTGGTGGGTGGCTGCTCTGATGCTGTCATGGAGTCCACAAGTATTGACTCTGTTGACCACTGTCCACAGGTTCTGACCTCTCTGGAAGACCCACACGGTGGGTCCTCTTCCGCAAAGGTGACAGGTGAACTCTGCCCAGAGTGGGGATTTAAGCACTGACGAATTAGAAAGTCAGCCCAGCTCGACAGAAAATAAGGCACTGAGCAAAACTAGCAACATGTGTCTGGCTTCTCTGACCTATGACCCACATACACAGTAATACACAGTAAGGAGGGAAGGGCTAGAGGGTGGGGCAGGATCAGGGCCCCTGGGATGCCTCTACTTCCAGTCCAAGGCAGAGGCCTCTGTCACAAATTCAGCTCCGTCAGCGACTGGGTCCAGCACCGTGCTGGAATGAGTTGGCTCTTCTTCTGTGGCCTCAGGCAGTGGCCTGGGCTAGCAAAGGCAGACCTGAAGGGAGACCGATGGACACGGAAGCCACCTGTCTTCCACACACAGCTCTCACTTTGCATGCTTACGACAGAAGGTGCATTAACCTGCTCCTATGATCTCCTGGAGGAACTGAAAGCCAACTTGGCCCTGCAGGTCTGCAGGTTCTCCGCAGGGCTCTGCTCTATGCAGTCTCCATCTAGCCCGCTTTGGTGTCTACCCTGAGTAATAATACAAAGAGAAGAATAACGCCAGTTGTGCGTACAGTTGAGCAGACGCTCAATCGCACTACCTCATTCACTGCAGCTGAACCTGAATATTAAGGAAACAAACAAAACCCAAACCGTACTGCAGGTTAACTTCAACCTTCCACCTATTTCTTCCAGTCTGGAGCTGGTATCATTGTCTGTAAAACACGCCTGAATGCGGAGACAAAAGTAGATGGATCCTGTACTTGTAAATTTCATATTTATTATAACAAAAATTATGCCATGTCCATTTGTGCATTCTGCTTCAATATAACTCTGGATGTGTAGATGGTCTAAGGGACTCTATACAGTCATGCTGATTGTGGCAGCAGTAAGGAACACAATTAAAAAGTGTCTGTAAAAGGTTCTGGGATCCCAAGGGCAGGACCATATTACCTGCACAGAAACACGCTGAGCAAATGGCCCACACTGAAGATGAGCTAGGTGGGGATGGGGCGGGGAAGGCTTTTCAGAGGGGCTGGGAGTCAGTTATTTAGGCTGTGTCCTTATACCGAGACTACAAACACTTTAAGTTTCACTATGTAACACTGAGCTATTTACAATAGAAATTTCTCAATCAACTGTTCTCTCAGAGAAAATTAGTGAATCCCAGTGACTTAAGTCACCTGACAGAGTAAAGCAACTCCTAGGAGTTAGTCTCCATATTCTACAAATGTCTATCATTTTCAAGACAAAAAAAAAAAGCCTTTCCCCACAAAGAAATACACAATTACAATATTATTAAATCATTTAGCAATGACAACTTGCCCTGCCTTCCAAACAAACCAAACAACAAAAAGCCATTTTTAAAAATACTACATTATCATTAACTGTTTCTCTGTAATATATTAAACCTTTTGTTCTTTGTCTTTATACATTTGATATGTTAGGGAAGGAAGTTAACAAATTTAAGTCATATTGGTAAAGTGTCACTAGAGAAAAGTGGTAAATATTAAAAGTAACCAATACAAAGAGAACCTACAGAGGAGCTGCAGAGGCGGGTGGGGCGTGTCTGGGAGAAGGGCAGGAGGTAACAGCCCTGGTTTAATGTGAGCCTGGGAGACTCTCTCAGTCTTTCTGGTTAGTTTATTGTTTAGAACAGTACCCAGACGGGGTCATAGTGGCGTGTCATAACAGTCTGGCAGCTGATCCGCCTGGAGCTGCCTCTGTGGCTGTGGCTGTGGCGGCTGGGGTGGTGGTGGCAGCTGCTGCTGCTGCTCCTGGTGATGTTTCATGATTTCTTTGACTTCCTCTTCCAGCTCCGGTGGTATGATAAACTGATCATCTGGATCTGGCTGAGCAGGGGCTGCAAAATAGCCCCCTGGCTTTCGGAGAGGTGCATCTGCGGCAACCTCTATCACATTGTGGCTCCTTTCCTGGGGAGCAACAGAGCCGTTAGCCCGCCGTCGCCCGATGGTCCCCACAGCAGAGAAGTCCGCCTTCTTGGACAGACCGGACTCATCCTCGTTGGCACTGATGACGATGCCCTCATCGCTGGCCTCAGCTGGCACCTGCAGCAGGTGCTGCTGTCTCTCCTTTTCCTTGGCCCGGCTGCAGTGGATGTCCACTTCCACCTCTACCCGGCTGCCATTGCTGAAGACACCCTCAATGGGTTCTTCATCATCACTGTCAAGGCCGTTGTCGGAGAACGCGCTGGAGAAAGTGGCACTGGACAGCTGACGCTGGAAGGAGTTGGACAGGCAGACTGGGTGGAGCATGCAGCGCTGCTCGTTGGGGTAGGCGGGGCTGCTCTCGTTCAGGACTCCAGCTGGGGGCTCATCGGAGGCCGTGGAGCCCACCTCGCTACTCATCTCAGAGGTGGACAGTTCACTGCTGATCTCAGATGCCATGCCGCTGCTGGAGGAGGGCACACCCAGCCCATCTGGGGGCCGGTCCTTGATTACCATGTTGACAGAGGATGGGAAGATTCCAGGGCTAGGGGGTGGCATGCTCCCTCCAGCACTGAGCTCGCAGCAGCAGAAGCTGTCTTCAGTGACACTGAGCTGCACCACCACCGCACTGATGCTGTCATGGCAGCCGTAGCTCTGGGCCAGAGTGCACAGCTTCTTGGCAGCAGCCAGAGCATCGGGCACATTGCGCACAGCCTCCACGGCCTCTTCAATGGATAGGCTGTCCCAGAGCCCTTTGCTGCCCAGGATGAAAAACTCATCCTGTGGAGTCAGAAGCACTGACTGGACGTGGGGGCGAGGCACCACACTGGGGTGGAGGAAGGTGTAGCCCAGGATGCGTGTGGATTCTGTCACTCCATTGACCTTGCCATCCTAGAAAGGAGAATTTCCAGAGAGACGGTGAGCACAGAGCACATGTGGCTACCAAGCTGCCCACCTCCCCTCCCCCTTGCCTCAGGGCCACTGACTGGGCCATAGGGAAGTGCTGGGCATCCCAAGGAGGAGGCTTATGTGCCCTATGTATGGAATGGCTAAAGTGTAGATCTGGGATTGTAAGGAGTAGCAGGAACAACAGGAAATATTCCAGCCATTCCTTTAAGAGGGACCACATTTATTCGAGGCGGTCAGACCGATCCTTTCTCTTCGTGACAAGCTGATGTCTAGCCCCATGTGACACGCATGCTCACTTGATTCTAAGGAGGTAAGCCATCCCATCCAGAAGCACCTATGACAGGATGGTTCAACTGGCAAAACAGAAAATAGCTGTATACTGATACAGACAACATAGTTTATGTGTCAGACTACCCCTAGAAGGTGAGGCTGGTATCTGTGACTCCCACTTTACATGTGAGAAAACAAAGGCTTACGAGGGTTTAATATCCTTCAAGTGGCTGAGCTCAGACACAAAACCAGCAGCGTGATTTTAGGAGGGAGATCCACTGGTGCAGAACCCATGAAGCACTCCCGCCTTCATGGCACCTGGTCAACGTCTGATTACTCTACAGTAAACTACAGTGACAGTCCACAGTAATCTAGAGACAGCACCAGGGCATTCCCTTTGGAATACTATGGATTTGGAATTCAAAATCTACACTAACATCAAACGTTTCCTGGAGTCTCCAGCAGGGGGCATGGCTCACCCTGTTGTCTGAGGAAAACCCTCTCACCTCAGTGATGATGGCTTTGTGCTGCTTAATCCTCTTCCGCTCTTCTTCACAGCTCATGATGTATGACCTGGACAGAGGCAGTGGCTTCCCATTTCGACAGAGAACCGTTTGGCACTTGCCAACGTTAGCAGAGGTCAAAGTGAAGGGTCCTCCTGGGTCCACAGGGTCATGCTTGATGTGGCACAGGACGGCAGCACCACCGAGCTTCTGCCCAGCAGTGCCCAGCTTCCTGAACCCAGAGAGGAGAATGAATACTCAGCTGCAGCACCACACACTGCTCATTCGGAAGACCGATGGCACCAGTGCACAGGGAGCAGACGCAGCCCTGCCGGCCAAAGCTACCTGGCGTCCGAGAGACAGGTCTCCGGAACCTGACAGTATGTGCCTTCCCACAAGGAGAGGCGTGTGCTCACGAGGTGGCGGCAGTGAACCTTTTGGTTAAAAGCCCCATGCCGGCCGGCCTGCAGTGTCTAGCCCGCGGCCCTGAGCCAGCGATATGGCTCCAGCACTACACTCCAAACATCAAGAAAGGGCTGCTTCTCTCTGCGCCCACCTCGCCAAGTCTCTCTGCCCTACATAAATCACAATAGGCATGAACACAAGGTATGATGCAGACACTGCACACTGACCCTAACCACCTTCCTTCTGAAGGATGCTGGCTTGCCCTGTGCAGCCAAGGCTTTCTTGATCAGCACTGTTTATTCTACAAAACCTACTGGACAGGATTCTGGCATCAGACACAAGTGTCTTTCCTTGACCCTCCACTGTCCCCTAACCCATGTACTTATTGAATGTTTGAAGCACCTACAAATCTGGAGCATCATAAAGAGCAAAGCACTCTCTTTGATCACAGGTCTCACCAATGCTCATTCCTCCAAGCCTCCTGCAATGAACCTTGACAGTTATAAAAACAGAAACAAAAACAAAACCAAAACACTATGTCTCTTGTCTCTTGCCTAATGAGGGCAGGAAAGGCCCTGAAGCACTGTCAGAATCTAAGTTAAATGACTGTGAACAGGAGCCATGGAAACCAGGGCCACCTAGCCACACACACATGACAACTTAGGCACAGAGAACATGCAGTTAGTTACTCTGAGGCCTGATGTGCTCCCTGGTCCTATACCCTGTTACCTGTTATGGACAATAGTCACAAAGAAGACCCTGCAGGTGGGCCTCCCGTACAGATTCCATGACCAGATCTGAATGCTGCATGCTTCTAAGGTAGCATTGCCTTCAAATGCAAAATGGCTCAAAGAGAAGTTTGTAACCAGAGTCTGCTAGAGGGCTATGTTGAATATGTGTGTGTGTGTGTGTGTGTATGTGTGTGTGCATGTGTGTGTGTGTATGCACGTGTGTCCACGTATGCCTGTGTACGTCTGTGTATGACATGTTTTGTGTCATCTGGGACAAGGTGGTGGCTGAAATGGAAAATGTTACTGTGTGGCCAAAGCATCCATGGGGTCTCAGGATCCTGCCTTTACAGCCTATTGGGCCTTGGGGTACTTTGCTTTACCTCTATATACTTTGGTTTTACAAACAAGATATAAAGAATAGCAACACATATCTCACTGGGGAAAAAATCAGGGCATGTAAGGTAGTTAGAACAGTGACTATTTGTTAGCTTTTATCACTGTGCTCAATTGCTGTCTGTACCCACTAGGAATCTGGCAGACGGGGTGTGCTGGAAGCGGGGCCAGAAACCTGCCTGCCTTGGCTCTGCATGAGGCAGACACAACTGTGGAGGCTTCTGGGGACAGCATTCCACAGCAGACACTACCTATCCTGGCTACAAAGCCATCGTCTGTGTCAGGTTACTCAGGGGGAGAGGAGGGAAAGGGAAAGACCTCATCAGTGCTGCAGGCTTCCACACATAGGATCCTTGTCAGCATGGATCCTGTCAGAGCAGGGTCTGCAGTACATATTCCCAGTGACCCAGTGAGGCAATTCCTTTATGATCCATAAAGCCCTCAGGTAACGAAAGGACGAGAAACTCTCCCAACAAAGAAGTCCTCACAACATTTGTCCCGAAGGGCTCAAGTGGCACGGCCTAGTTCTTGCAGTGACCTTTAGGTGCAGGTGTGACAGGCAGCACCTGGGAGTCTGGAAGACGTGCATCAACACTGAATAAGGGAGAAGACAGCATATAAAGAATGTTGTAAACCTAGCCTAAAATCTGACCTACCTAGTTTCAAACCAGTGAAAGCATTTCCTATTGGTCAACAAACTGGGAAAGAAATGATCCATTCCAGAGAGACATCCACACACCATTCAGGAAGATCTAAGCTATCCCTGTGGTTTGGGGGAGGCTGGCTGTTGTAAATGAAGAAGATATGTTGTCAATAGAGGCCATGAAGGCCCAGTTCTCTGAGAAATGAGACTGCGGCCCCTCACTTACGGAGTATAAGTGCATCTCAGACTGAACCCTAGGCCAGCCCTAACGATCAAACAACACCGACGGCCTGCGTGCAGCTGCAGCAGCCAGCCAAAACAACACTGAGATCACTGAGTATCAATTTCTAGTAGGACAGAAGCATCAAACAAGAGCAAGAAGTGAGACCTAGTGATACAAACTGTAATTTCAGCACTCAAGAAGCTGGGGCAGGAGGATTCTATGTTCAAGGCTACCCTGGGTTACACAGTAGGACTGTGCCTCAAAATAAACATAACACATACATACATACATACATAAATAGATAGATAGATAGATAAATAGATAAATAAATAGAAGAAATCATTTACCTTTGCATGACAATAAATGTATTGACCATGTATTCTTCCTCATTTTTCGTTTTCTGAAGCTCTTCAGCCAAGATGTCACTCATGGTGCACTGAAGGAGGTAGGGCACCTCCACATTCCGGTCTCCATCAAACACACCATAGAGGGCCTCCCGATTGTCCCGGAAGTTGTTCACAGACAGCGCCGCCACACACAGCCTGCGGAGTAAGACAACACTTGTGATGAGCCCACCCACTTTCTCTTTCTTATGCCTAACGCAGTTCTCTCTGTCTCTAAGAATGCCCTGGCTGGTCTCTTTCTTCTTGTCTCCAAAAAGATTTGAGTAAACAAGAGTTCAGATGGTTTGCATGAACTGATTTCTGTGTGGCTTCCCTTACCTTCTCTTCCAATATTAGTATTTTTAAAAAATTACTTAAAGATTTAAAAATTATTTATTTTTAATTTTTATGTGTGTGAATGTTTTGCCTGTGTGTATGTATGTGTGATATCTGTTACCTGTGGAGTCCAGAGGAGTTATAGGTGGTTGTGAGCTGCCATGTGCTACAAGTGAACCCAGGTTCTCTGGAAGAGCAACATTTGCTCTTAACTGGAACCATCTCTGTAGACTCTAAAGACTCATTTTGAATTATTTGTGTGTGGTCTGTGTTGGAGTGATGCTTGGATACATGAGTGCAGATGCCTGTGAGACTAGAGATATCAGAGCCCCTCAAACTGCATTTACAGGCAGCCTTGACTGGCCTGAAAGCCAAACTGGGAACTGAGCTTGACTCATCTGCAAGGGGAATATGAGTGCTCCTAACTGCTAGACCATCTCTCCAGTTACAGTTTTATTTCTAATGGAGAAAGAGGAGAGTAAGAGAAATGAGAAATAATATTAGGATATAACCTCCAACCTACACTTACGTACAATAACTAGTTATTAAGGAGAACATCCATATCAAAATAGAATGACAAATAAAACACGGGGAGGTAATAAAGAATGTGAAGTGCTTGGAAAAGAAAAGCTTAGCATTCAGCCCATGGTGCTGGCCCTGCTTATTCCCTGGGAAAGACTGAAGCTGCAGGAGGAAGACACAGTGTTGGATGGGGAGACCCAGGACACTGAACATGGGAAGGCAGGATTTGTCTCCAGAATAAAACCAAGAGCCCAGGCACAACAACACGGGCCTATAATCCTAGCACATGAAAGGCTGAAGAGAGACAATCAAAAGTTCAAGGCCAGCCTGAGCTACCTGGTGAGACTCTGCCAACAAACCCTACAAAAACAAAAGCCAATAAAAACAGAGAGGAAAAAGAATTTGGAAAGAAAGTCAGGGCACTAGAGAGTGGTGGGATAATGTCAAACAGCCTAATATATGAGAACGAGAGCCTTGAAAAGAAGAGAGACATAAGAACATTATACATTTGTAGCTATAATTTTGATGAAAACTTATAAATCCATATAAATATATGGATACAAGAAGTTCAACAAACTATAAACGTATGGATACAAGAAGGTCAACAAACTACCAGCAAGAGGAATAGGAAAAAAAAAAAAAAAGCTTAACTGAGAAAGAACAAAATCAAATTGCTTAAAATAGGGGAAAAGGCAGGAGGTTGGGGTGTAAGACAAAGCCATGAACGGCAGCAGATTTCTTGTGGCAAAACTACAGATGAGATGACTGCAGAAGAGCATCTTTCAAGTACAAAGCAGAAAACAGTCTAGATTCCCAACCAGTGAAAACAGCTTGGAAAAGTTATGGCTGACGACCTTTCAGATGCACCTGAAGACTTCACTGTAAGAAACACAGAAAGGAGATCTGCTCTCTGCCAAACAATGAAGCCCAATGTAAAGGACAAGTGGGAAAGACAAGTGTTCTTGCCAAATGGGATGTGGCACCTGCCACAAGGAGGCAAGAGATGCTGTTCACACCCAACAATAAATACGATGTGTTCCTCCCCTGCCACCTTATATCTGGCTCAAAATGTCCGTGGTACTGATGCTGAGAAACATTACTTTAGAAAGTAGAACACTAAGCTAAAAATACTAACAGTATATTTAGGAATTTTATAACAAATGGGGAAGTAAAATGCAAGACAACAGTAGAACAAAGGTAGATGGAGGAGAAGTTGAGATGTTTCTAACATTCTTTATGAAGTGATACAGAATTGGAGAGAAGCGGTACTAAGTAAAAGATTATACATGATACATGCACACACACACCCTAAAACACACACACACACACACCCTAAAACACACACACACACCCTAAAACACACACACACACCCTAAAACACACACACACACACACACACACACACACACATGAAGATACCATGGAACATGGGGATAAAAGCATTTAACCCAAAAGAATTAAGAAAAAAAAAAAAAACAGCTAAGATTTTTTTTTTTTTTTAAGAAAATAACCAATTTGCAGGCAAATGGTGGGAACTAGAAAAGATCATCCTGAGTGTGGTATCCCAGAAACAAAAAGACACACATGGAATATACTCACTTATAAGTGGATATTAGACATATAATATAGGATAATCATACTAAAATCCTTACACCCAAAGAAGCTAAGCAAGAAGGAGGACCCTGGGTAAGATGATCAATCCTCATTCAGAAAGGCAAATGGAATAGACATCAGAAGAGAATGAAAACAAGGAACAAGACAGGAGCCTACCCACAGAGGGCCTCTGAATGACTCTACACAGCAGGGTATTAAAGCAGATGCTGAGACTCACAGCCAAACTTTGGGCAGAGTGTAGGCAATCTTATGGAAGAAGGGGGAGATGAAAGACCTGGAGGGGACAGGAGCTCCACAAGGAGATCAACAGAACCAAAAAATATGGGCCCAGGGGTCTTTTCTGAGACTGATACTCCAACCAAGGACCATTCATGGAGATAACCTAGAGCCCCTAACACAGATGTAGCCCATGGCAACTCAGTCTCCACATGGGTTCTCTAGGAATGGGAACAGGGGTTGTCTCTGACATGAACTTGGTGGCTAGCTCTTTGATCACCTCTCCCTGGGGCCGGGGGTAGCCTTGCTAGGCCACAGAGGACTATGATCTAGCCAGTCCTGATGAGACCTGACAGGTAGGCTAGGGTCAGATGGGAGGAGGACCTCCCCTATCAGTGGACTGGGGAAGGGGCATGGGAGGAGATGAAGGAGGGAGGGCAGGGTTAGGAGGGGAGGGAGGGAAGGAGCTACAGCTGGGATACAAAGTGAATAAATTGTAATAAATAAAAACATTTTTTAAAAAAGGAAAAAGAAAACAAGCCAGGCTTGGTGGTACACACCTTTTATTTCTGCACTTGGCAGGCAGAGGCAGGTGGATCTTTGTAAGTCTAAGATCAGCCTGGTCTAAAAAGAAAGTTCCAAGATAGCCAGGGCTGTTTCACTGAGAAACCCTGTTAATAAATTGAATCTAAACTTTAACCTATTTTCATTGGGTATAAATAAAATATCTAAAAAACTATCCTGCCGCCAAACCCAGAAAAATCAAACTGGATAAAAGCAAGATACGACTATGCAGTGCCTAGTCTAAAGAGCATTTTAAATACAAAGACACAAACAGGTAGAAAAGTATTAAAGTTTAACACCAGCATATCACCTTCTAGACACTGATACCTAGAAGCACTTGGTACCTGGGACCCCCAGAGGCCACACCTGACTGACTCAGGTAGGGTAGGTGTCTTCCTGTCCTTCACTGGTCTCACCCCCAGCCCTGTAGCAGCCTGCCTGCAGGTGACACACCTTTCCTCCGTTCCATGGACCCAGCTTAGCTCTTCTCGCAGTCTGTTTGCAGGTATCCTTTCTTGCACCTCAACTCCACTCACTGGACACTCCAACTCTTGTTCCACACCAGGGTCCTCCTAGCCCTATCATCTCTGCCTTCCAGACATATACTTTGTCCTATTACAGCCTATTTGCTCCTACTCCCCCGTCTCCAACTTTCTGGGGATCCCACCTTTTGGTGTAGAAAGGATTCCCTATTTTACAAAGGTTTCTCACAACCTTTCTCAGCCATTTCCTCTAGCTTTCTCTATTCTTTTCTGCCATCCACAGACCAGGGAATCCAAAGCCACAGCACTTTCCTAAGATCCCGAGAGGGCAGCAGAAGCCAAGGAACGAAATACCCATCTGACAAAGACAAGACCAGACAGCAGCAGTTAGAATCACCGCAATTATCCTAAGTCCAGATGCCCAGACACCAATGCAACACTACAAACAGGAACAGCCAAGACACTATGCTTCCACCAGAGCCCAGCAAACCTGCTATGGTAGCCCTGGGAAAGGAAGCACAAGAGAAGAACTTCAAAATAGCTATCATGAATATGCTAAAGGACCTTAAAGAGAATATGAATAAATCACCCAATGAAGACAGTAAAAATACACAGTAGAATGAAATAATGAAAACATTTCAAAACATGAAAGTAGAAATAGAATCACTAAAACTAACTAACTAAATAACTGAAATAAAACTGGAAATGAAAAATTTAGGGAAAGAAGAAGCCAAAATATTTTATTTGCAGATGATACAGTTTTACATATAAAAGAACCTTAAAAAATTCACCTGGCAACTTTTACAGATGAGAAACACTTTCAGCAATGTAGCAGGATATAGAATTAGCACACAGAAATCTTTCTACACACAAATGACAGACTGAGAAAGAAATCGAGGAAATATATTTTACAATAGCCTCTCTCTCTATATATATGTATTTCTTGGGATAATTCTAACCAAGCAAGGGAAAGAATTATAATAATAAAAACTTTAAGGGACTGAAGAAAGAATGCGAAGAAAATACCAGAATATAGAAAGATCTTCTAAACTTATAAATGGGTAGGATGAATACTGTGAAAATGGCCACCTTCCAAAAGCAGTCTACAGATTCAACAAATCCCCATCAAAATTCCAACACAATTTACAGAAACTTAACAAAAAAACAAACAAAAACCCAACCAATTTTCAGTTTCTATAAACAAAACAAAACTCAAGATAGCTATAACAGTCTTGAATAATAAAAGAACTACTGAAAGTATCTTCATCTTAGATTTCAAGTTGCACTACAATAATAAAGCCAGCTTGGTTATAGCATACAAACAGACATGTTGATTAATGGAACTGAACTGAAGACCTATACATAAGTCCACACATACCTGTGGATACCAATTTTTTTTTTTTTTTGACAAGCCAAAAATACACA